GTGCCCTTGCCAGAAAAACAAAGAGAGAAATCACCCCCCAGGGGGAATGGCCACACTGCAATTCCTTACCCTCCATTCTCCATCCGGGATCTTGGGCACACATGCACATGTGCCCGGTGTGAGTTTAAGCCATGGGTCCAGGACTCAAATGGCGGTCGACTAAGTGGGAGTCCAGCAACATAGCCATTACACTAACTGCTGGTCCCAAACCTGGAGTGATTTTTAAGCCACAGGGTCCAGGACTCAAACAATGGTCAGCCATGTGGGAATCTAGCACCTTAACCACTATGCTACCTGCTGGCTTCAGATGTCTGTTTTTATTTTTCATTTATTTATTCCATGAGAGAGGAATAGAGAGAGAGAGAGAGAGAGAGATCAGCCCCCACTGTACCATGATCTACTCCCTGTCTTAGCCAGTCAAGTTCATGGATTTATTCACATGTGCCTGGCTTCCTCAGGAATCATTAGGCCTCAAATTCATGGATTTATTCACATGTGCCTGGCTTCCTCAGGAATCATTAGGCCTCAAATTGAGGATCTTTCCCATGTGCGTCAAATTGTGTTACCACTGTGCCACCTCTTGGCCCCGAAATATCTTTTGTGTTACATAAACATTTTGAGTATTGTTTTTCTTAGACAATTGTAAACTTGAGAGCAAGATCTAACCATATCCTCTTCTCCTTGCATCTTACATAGTTGAAAGAATTGAGTTAACCAGACAAAACTAATTCCAAATAATTTCCTATTCTATACACATAAAAAAGTCTTACCAAAATACAAGAAAAATAACTTAGATGTTTGGAGGAAAGGAATGAGAATATTGTTTTAGATACTTTTCACTTTCCTTTTCCAAATATAAAACAATTATTTTCAGTTTTGTTTTTTTTTTCAGGTTTTTGTCATACGGTGTATGCACTCACTGGGAAAACAGAGAAAGACAGTGAGAGGGAAAGTAAGAGATCCCTGGGGGGCGGGGGAGCACTGGAATCCCTTCTCCTTCGTTTTGCTCTTGGGATTTTGGGCACACATACCCTGCGTGAGTTTCAAGCTGCGGGATCCAGGACTCGAACTGCTGTCGGCCATGTGGGATTCTAATGCCTTAACTACTGTGCCATGTGCTGGCCCCTTTACTTGCTATTTTTCTTTAAAAAAGTGAATCTCTAAGTATGCTTTAAAACCTTTTCTTCCTGGTGCCAGCAGGTGACATGGTGATTGAGATACTGGACTTCCACATGGCTGACCATGGTTTAAGTCTCAGACCTGATGGCTTTCTCTCTCTGCTCACTTTCTGGTGAGTGCCTATAGCAATAATAATAATAATTAATAAAATTAAATAATTTTTTTTTTGGAGAGGTTTTTGCTGTAGGGCACGTGCGCTCACCAGACAGACAGGGAGAGACAGAGAGACAGAAAGTGAGAAATCACTCCCCAGAGGGGATGGCCACGCCACAGTCCCTTCTCCTCCATTCTCCTCTCAGGATCTTGGGCATGCACGCACACGCACCTGGCATGAGTTTTAAGCCACTGGGTCCGGGACACGAACTGCGGTCAACTACATGGAAGTCCAGTGACATAGCTATTACACTAACTGCTGGTCCCAATAAATAATTTTTAAAGAAAAAATTCACCTCCTGTAGATTGAGAATTTTATTCAATCAGTGTAAATTTAATTCCTTTTTTTTCTTTTTTTTTTTTTTTTTTTTTTGCTATAATGTATATGTGCTCACCAGAGAGACAGAGAAAAGGAGAAAAGACAGAGATTGCTCCCCAGTGGAGATGGCCATGTCACAATCTCTTCAGTTATCTCTTAGGATTGTGGGCACACATGCACACATGCCTGGCGTAATTTTCAAGCTGCTGGGTCTAGGACTTGAACCATGCAGTCAGCATATGGGATCCAGTGCCTTAACCTCCATATCACCTACTAGCCACTAAAGTGAAATTCTTCTTCTTTTTTCTTTTTTTTTTTTTTTTTTTTTTTTTTAATTTACAATTGGGAGGATATAGATTCTTCATCAGTACCATAGGTTCTTCCTCAAGTTTTTGCAAAACAGACCATATTTTACTAATTTTTGCTTTTATTTATTTATACTTTTAGTTTTTGCTATAGGGCATGTGTAGTCACTGGAGACAGAGAAAGAGAAACGGAGAACTTACCTTCGGGGGTGGGGGCGGCCATGCCAAAATTCCTTCTCCTCCATTCTCCTCTTGGGATTCTGGACACATACACCCAACATGTTTTTCAAGCTCCCAAGTTCAGGACTCATACCATTCAGTTGGCCATGTGGGAATCTAGCTGCTTTAACCACCTCACCACTATCTGACCCCCTATGATGAAATTCTTGATATAGAATTTATATATAGTTTTATCAAAATGACATGTCATTTTCTTTTTATTTAATTTTTTAAGGTTTTTGCCATAGGGCACATGTGCTCTCTGGAGAGAGACAGAGACAAGTGAGAGGGAAAGTAAGAAATCTGCATACCCCATGTCGCAATCCCTGTCCCATTGTCTTTCTGGGATTTGGGGCACCCATGCACATGTGACCAGAATGATTTTTTTATTTTTTAACAGAATTTTTTGCTATAGGGCACATGCATTCACCAGAGAGACAGAAAGCCAAGGGGGATGGCCATACTGCAATCCCTTCTCTAGTTTCCTCTCAGAGTTTTGGGCATGCACACACAAATGCCCGGCATGAGTTTCAAATCACTGGGTCCAGGGCTCAAACTGCAGTTGACTGCATGGGAGTCCAGCAATGTAACCATTATGCCATCTACTGGTCCCTCGGCATGATTTTTCAAGGTCTGAAACTTGAACCACGGTTGGCCATGTGAGAGTATAGTGCCTTAACCACTGTGCCACCTGCTGGCTTTGACATTCCATGTTGTAATTTTTTGGTTTTAGGCATTGACTTAATACTAAGGAAAATGAGGGCTTTGGTTTTCTTTGCCTGTCACACACATACTTGTACAGTATGTAAGCAAATTTCCTCCCCCATCTTCCCAACTTAGTTATGATGTAATTTTAGTTAGGTCGGTATTTAGTGTTTATATTTTTTGAATATGTAAATGCTATTCAGTTGAGTAGTACTATACCTTAGTACTTTCTTTAATTTGATACAGAGCATGTGGACTGGCTGGAGAGAGACGGAAAGTGAGAAATCACCCCTCTGAGGTAGTGACCATGCCAACAATCCCTTCTCTATTCTTTTCTTAGGATCTTGGGCACTCATGCACATGTGCCCAGCATGTTTTCAAGCCACTGGTCTGGGCTAGAACCACACAGTTGGCCATGTGGGATCCAGCCACCTTAACCACATGCTACCTAGCTGGGCTAGTAGTACTTTTTCTTTTCTGTACATGCTTTTTATTTTATTTTTTTATTCTCTGGAATAAAATGTTCTTGTTTGTGTTAATTTCTTAGTTTCTGTCTACATACTACTAGCTGAAAGCTAAATATCTACCACTTAACTAAATGTCCTCTCAAAATATTCAAAATATATCAGGTATTGTATCAGCTTTGTTAAATCTCTCCCAAAGCCTTATGCTCCAGGCTATTTTGGTGCCCTTTACTCTTGGTGAATTGCTGTTAATTCTTTATTCTTTATTGTGGAGGACCAACCATATTCGTATGCATATATATAGACTTTAATAATTTTTAAATACTTTGAAGAATTTCTCTATTTTTTTTTTACTGTTATAAACAAAAGGATATCCTTGCACTGATATGCTAGAGTTTCTGCTTATGTACCTAGAAATGGATATTGACAAATTGTCCTTACTTTACCCTTCTGTCCACAGTGTGAGAT